AGGGCCCCCAATCTCATATTAAATGGATTTATAAAAATGAGTGCAGACATAATTGCCTACCCTGTGTTCATAAACATTGTTACTCACCTCTGAAATCTGGTCAAATCATTACCTAGTTAATAATGGACTATGTTTCCCCATGGGTGTTTTTATTTTCATATGTTGCAGTATGCAATTTAAAAACCAATGAATGCTATTAGATGTCATCATCCACTCCGATCAAGCCACAGTGACCCCCGGCAAAAGCAGCCAATGTGGCTGTGACTCATCTGCTCGTATTTGAAGAATAATGTCACATAAACACTGCGATTGGCTGACAACCAGTTCAGGGCGCAGCCCACCTACTACCCGAAGTCAGCTGGGATCGGCTTCAACACACCCGCGACCCTCGTGAGGATAATAGAAAATCGATGAATGAATGTCACATCACAGTCGCATCATAAATAGCAACCAAAACAAGTACCGGTACATAGTTTGAAATAATCATCCATCCATATTATATTTCATCTTCATACCATATAATCGCCTGTGTTACTAATCTCTGTCTGACGAACTCCTTTTTGTGGTTCAGTGATTGCAAAGTGAAACCACCTCTCCTGAAAGCTACAGTTTAACTGTCTGAGTGGTTGTGTTGACATGCAGTTTAACTCCGTGGGGAATGAAGGAGGGTACACTTGGCCAAATCTAATATTGACACGACACATTGCGGGCTGCCACACTTTGGAATTTGGAAGGTGGTGAGGAGGGGAGCTTCGGGAGAGAGAGAAAAGGCTTTTAGAAGTGGTTGCTGCAGTGCATCAAAATTGAAATGTGAGAATCCAATCCAAGAGATGTTTCAGTTTGACCGGGTTGACTGTTGCCGGGTGGTTCAAAGGATTGAACCACCGACGCTACGTTCAAGTCGAAAATAAAAACGCCATGAAGACACATTCTCTATGTTCTTCGAACTCTTCAAGTCACACTCTGCTTTCGTAGGTCAACCCTCCTTGGCAAGGTGCTACGTGTTGATATTAACGACAATGATGATGGTGCACCATACAGCGTCCCTTCAGACAACCCATTTCTGGGAGAGAAGGGGAGCCTCCCAGGTACATGCGTGGCAGTCCTATAGTCATGCTACAAATATTGTGTGAATTAATTGATTTGACAATGTCTATTTACTCCTGAAATGATATCGAGGTTTTATCCCATTTGCATTCAATCTTCGCCCTGTTCATTTGTATGTGTAAAAACGTCCCCTTGCAGAGATTTATGCTTATGGCGTGCGCAACATGTGGCGTTGCTCTATTGACCGCGGAGACCCGAAAACAGGCTTTGGCCGAGGCAGGATGTTTTGTGGCGATGTCGGCCAGAACAAATATGAAGAAATCGACCTCATTCTCAAAGGTACATTGAAATGATTTTCCCATTGTGATCCAGACTATTGCTCTTTGTAAGAACGTGCTTTCGTATTCCATTTTTCAGACCATCATACCGAGTAAATAAGTTTATTCCACAGCTGCTCCAAATCAACAACAATGGGGCATTTTTATCCAGAAATAGTGATCCACTTTTATGTGGAATTCTTTTTGTGCTCCCCAAGCTCTCCTCTTCACATTCCGTCAATGTTGTAGATGCTCTCCAAAATGATATTTGGGCTAAATTTTAATGCTGGCATTATTACGTTTACCATAAAGTTTTGATGTATTGTTTTACAAGCAGACAAAATATTCTGATCAAGCACATTATTATTTCTTGATCAATATGTCAAATTGTCATTATTTGCTGGACAGGAAAAAAATAGATCTAGTGGTTGAATGTTATGCTTGATTAATCATGTATGAAAGTGCTCATGTAATTCAAAATGTGTTTTCAGTAAATCTCTGTTGTAAGAATGATGCTTTTCAATATATTCTATACTTTTAGTATAGCCGGTTTCGTTTCAAGTGAATGATGAAGACCCCGATAACAACTGGCACTTCTTTCTCATGGTGGTCACTCGCCTGGTCACACATTCCTGTGTGGTGATTTTGTGGTTGGTCACTCGAGCACAAACCGCACAGCCCTGCCGATTCCGATGACGATGGAGATGCTGGCTGACGACATCATAATATATTCAGGCACCTGATAGTCAGTACTGCGTCGGGTTCAATGACCCTTCTACGATGTACTCCTCATCCCATAAATGTGTGTTCCTCACAAATGGAAAAATAAACGGGCATTCCAAACGGTATAACATATAATGGCAAGAAGCACTGTTGAAAAAGGGGAATACCAACTGCACAAAAAGTTCCGTTTAATATTCATAGAAATGCATCATCAACAATATGAGGCAGTTTTTTTTTTCATTATGAAGGAATGAAATGTCATTTGATAGAAGGTGTTCCATTAACGATGCCATGTGTTTTAAGGAGGCAATTATGGATGGAGGGCAAAAGAAGGCTTCAGCTGCTACGATCGCAAACTCTGTCGTAACTCATCGCTAGGTGAGGCGACTTGATTTCACTTGTTTTATGCTGTGCAGAAAGCCGCCGCAAACCACTGGGAAGTTTTCCATTGCAGGGTGTGAAACGTGTTCACGTTACCATGCATGTTGTATGTGCCAGTTGCACGCAAAGTTATTCCATTCCATTCGCTTACAATGCAAGAAAAAAAAAATAGATACTCCTGACCTGTTATGAATATTTACACATTGCAATATCTAAACCTAATCTGGAAGATTCTGTTTATTTAAAATTCCAAACTATGAAGGGCAGCACAGTTCTCCCTGTCCTTGATATGGGTTTCCTCTTACATTCGCAAAAATACGCATTTTGGGTGAAATAAATCATCTAAATTGTCCTTGGGTGACAATCTCAAGTGTGCATGGTTGTCTTTACGTGCCCTGCGAATAAATGGCGACCAATCCTGAGTGTACTCCGCCTCTCACTCAAAGATCAGCAACAGAATGAAGGCAAGTGGTATAGAAAATTGATGTATAGATAAACTATATAATGAACAAATGATCGACAATGTTAACAAGGTCCACAATTAAATATGACTATTCATTATAAGCAAATATTTTGCTCTTCGTGTGTCAATGAATACATTTGGTCGCTATTCAAAGACTTCTCTCTAAAGACAGATGTGTTTTATGTTACCCAGATGACATCTTGCCCATCTTTGCCTACCCCCATAAATTGGGCAAATCAGTGACGGGGGGTTACATCTACAGAGGTTGCCAGATGCCCAACCTGAATGGACTCTACATCTTTGGAGACTTCATGAGCGGGTGCGCACTTCTGTCACGCTTTCATCTCCACATTTCTCTGCAGGCTTTGGATTAAAGGCCATTTGAATGTGTGCGTTAATGAATAAAATATGTTCATTGCTTCCCAGGCGCCTGATGTCCTTGAAGGAGAATGTGATGACAGGTGAATGGCAGTACAATGAAATTTGTATGGGAAGAGACCAGACCTGCAGATTCCCCAAACTCATCAACAGCTACTATAAATACATCATTTCATTTGCAGAGGATGAGGCAGGTAAGGACTCCTCCTGTCAGATACCATGAGGATGTACATAAATTAGTTTCAGGTTAATTGTGGAGTGCGGGTCTACTCAAGATTATAAAATGAAGAAGAATTGTAATTATTCCTCAGCCCTACAAAGCAATGACATTTGGCCCGATCCACAACATACAAGGAATAAAACGTTCTCATCAACGTTCTCCCCAACACGACTAACAGCCAAGAGCAACATACTGTTTGATGATGGCCAATGGAGCTGAACCGAGAGGTCATACCATCAAATCGAAGTTTCTTTCCAGTGCTCTGCTGGGAATGAAAACTTAAAATGGTCTTAATCTTGAAGGACTTTTTGTTTTATATTGAAGTAATAGCACTGCTCATTTTGTTTCTTTCATTTCTGTTCAATGTATAAAGTGGATGAATGAAAACATGATCTCACACCTGCGTGGACACAAACAGTAAATACATTTTAGTGTTGAATTATTTTTTTTTTGTCTTTGAATGTTTGATCCCTTGTTTTTTGTCTCACTCTTTTCTGTCCCTGAAGGTGAATTGTACTTTCTTGCCACCGGTGCCCCAAGTGCAACAGCCAGAGCAGGAATTATCTATAAAATAGTGGATCCCTCCAAGTGAGCACTGTCGCACACCTTCCATTGCACTTTCAGGCATGAGGAGTGTATTTGTTGCTGTTGTGTGTCTCATTAAGAGATCAGCTGTGAGGCGGAGCGAACCACATTTAGTGCATATAACCACAACTCCCTGTTTGGGGTATCAAAATAAAATGTCGACTGTTTTTCAGCTTCGATATGTGCTTCAAACAAGAAACAAAACAAACCAAAAAAAAAAAATCTGCTATTTTATGAGCTTCAGTGACAGTTTTAATCACACTGACTCTAATAATACAATTAAAAAACATACACACACTGGAAGCTAAAAAAAATATGAATAATTAACATAAATTTCTTTATATTTCTCATAGGCGAGCAGCTCCAGGTAGATGTGCCATCAAGCCCTCCCCAGTAAAGATCAAGGGAAAACTTTTTCACTTCCATCCTAAAGCAGGTGAACTAAACTTACAACACTCGCATATGCTCCGCCCATCAACCCCTTTCTTGCTTTTTATTTTAACCGACCTGTTTTGTCTAAAATTCATAGTTTTCACAGAGCGCTACTTTTTGATTTGATTGAGTTCTATTCTGAAAGGGTTCCAGTATTTGTTTCAGGTTGAATGAGAAACGTGCCATTTTTTTAAGAGCCCTTCAGTTTGGTGTTGGTTGCCGTGGAAGACAAAGCTAGGTACTTTGCCGTCCATTGATTAGTTGATGGATACTGGAATTGTCTGGCCTTTTCCATGTTAAGATATCATTCATTTAACAGGCATAATCAATGCTGGTCTTAGTTAATGTCAGCACTTTCGCTGCACCATGTCATATTTCTTTTCTTTATTTAAAAATAAAATGTATTACATGGCCTCTTGCTGATATGGTATGATGTTACTTCTTAAGAACTTACTGTATAGCGTCACCTTTTCACGCACTGAGCAAGTACAGTACATCGGCCGTTAACACCTTTGAATTGCAACGTGCCAAACTGACGTGCACAGAAATGTACCGCACATCGAAGTGGAAACTCACTGAAGGGAACTTTGAATGAAAACATGATCTCACACCTGCGTGGACACAAACAGTAAATACATTTTAGTGTTGAATTATTTTTTTTTTGTCTTTGAATGTTTGATCCCTTGTTTTTTTTTTTTTTGTCTTTGAATGTTTGATCACTTTTTTTTTTTTTGTCTCACTCTTTTCTGTCCCTGAAGGTGAATTGTACTTTCTTGCCACCGGTGCCCCAAGTGCAACAGCCAGAGCAGGAATTATCTATAAAATAGTGGATCCCTCCAAGTGAGCACTGTCGCACACCTTCCATTGCACTTTCAGGCATGTGGAGTGTATTTGTTGCTGTTGTGTGTCTCATTAAGAGATCAGCTGTGAGGCGGAGCGAACCACATTTAGTGCATATAACCACAACTCCCTGTTTGGGGTATCAAAATAAAATGTCGACTGTTTTTCAGCTTCGATATGTGCTAGCAGGAATTATCTATAAAATAGTGGATCCCTCCAAGTGAGCACTGTCGCACACCTTCCATTGCACTTTCAGGCATGAGGAGTGTATTTGTTGCTGTTGTGTGTCTCATTAAGAGATCAGCTGTGAGGCGGAGCGAACCACATTTAGTGCATATAACCACAACTCCCTGTTTGGGGTATCAAAATAAAATGTCGACTGTTTTTCAGCTTCGATATGTGCTTCAAACAAGAAACAAAACAAACCAAAAAAAAAAAAATCTGCTATTTTATGAGCTTCAGTGACAGTTTTAATCACACTGACTCTAATAATACAATTAAAAAACATACACACACTGGAAGCTAAAAAAAATATGAATAATTAACATAAATTTCTTTATATTTCTCATAGGCGAGCAGCTCCAGGTAGATGTGCCATCAAGCCCTCCCCAGTAAAGATCAAGGGAAAACTTTTTCACTTCCATCCTAAAGCAGGTGAACTAAACTTACAACACTCGCATATGCTCCGCCCATCAACCCCTTTCTTGCTTTTTATTTTAACCGACCTGTTTTGTCTAAAATTCATAGTTTTCACAGAGCGCTACTTTTTGATTTGATTGAGTTCTGTTCTGAAAGGGTTCCAGTATTTGTTTCAGGTTGAATGAGAAACGTGCCATTTTTTTAAGAGCCCTTCAGTTTGGTGTTGGTTGCCGTGGAAGACAAAGCTAGGTACTTTGCCGTCCATTGATTAGTTGATGGATACTGGAATTGTCTGGCCTTTTCCATGTTAAGATATCATTCATTTAACAGGCATAATCAATGCTGGTCTTAGTTAATGTCAGCACTTTCGCTGCACCATGTCATATTTCTTTTCTTTATTTAAAAATAAAACGTATTACATGGCCTCTTGCTGATATGGTGTGATGTTACTTCTTAAGAACTTACTGTACAGCGTCACCTTTTCACGCACCGAGCAAGTACAGTATATCGGGCGTTAACACCTTTGAATTGCAACGTGCCAAACTGACGTGCACAGAAATGTACCGCACATCGAAGTGGAAACTCACTGAAGGGAACTTAATAAGCAAAGTTGCGTACTCATCAGTCCACCCAGGTATAAAAATGTATTGTACCGCCCAGTCGATAACTGTGTCACCCATTATTGCTTTTCTTTTCGTCAGAATTTGTAATCGATAAGAAACCGACGACAACACCTGCGCCCACGACAACCAGAAGGAAAATACCGCCAACAAGCAAAACAATAAGAAAAACTCCAACACTGTCATCAAGAACAAGAAAAGCCTCACCCCCACCACCAACAACTGCACCTATGAGAAAAAAACAGACGCCTCCAGCAAGAATAAGAACAACGCCATCGACAATGGCCCGCACCACCATGATCAAAGCTACACCCACCGGTAGGCTTACTGGTACAGCCGTCTACCAAAATAAATCCATTGCTAGGACCAACTTTCAATCCACCAGTCGAGCCGCGCACATCAGGGTCACACTGGGCATTTTCTTCTGCACCACTCTAAATTTACTTTACATTTTAAGATGTTATTAGCTTTGCAATTTCAACCAGCTGCGATCTGTCTCGCTAACAAAGAATTGAAAGAAGGAAAAAAAATCTCAGAAAGCCATTCTAGAGATATATTTAAAACGCGAATGATGAATTAATATGGATAGTTTGGGAGTTTTTCTCACAGACGATTTTCTTCCGATGATGTATTTTGGGGGAATTTTATTTTCTACTTTTTATTTGTGATTGGATGTGATTCAGGGTAGATGTAAAATTCTCAAGACTCAAATCTGATAAAGAATATCAGACGCGTGGTTCATATTGCACAGAATCTTAAGAATTTGTTCTCAAATAACATAAGAACTGAGGTTTTTTCCATGTTTTACATATAATTTAATAACATATTTCTTTCCGTTAAATTTATGTCTCTAAATTCAACACGCTGCAGCAAGAGTGTTCTTACAAGCCTGCTTGATTTCCATCCATTTTCCAAACATCATATCCTCACAAGGGTTGCGGACATGCTATAAGCCCATCCCAGCTGCCTTCGGGCAGGAGGCACGGTACACCAATCACAGCCAATCACAGGGCACAAATGGACAAACAAACATTCACACTCGCAATCACACCGATGGACGATTTAGAGTGTTCAGTCAACTTGCCATGAAGGATTTTGGAATGTGGGAGGAACCCGGAATACCCGGAAAAAACCCAGGGCAGGCCCAGGGAGAATGTGCAAACCCCACACAGGAAGGCCGGGTACAAACCCACGACTTCTGCACTCTGAGGCGGATGTGCTAACCGTGTTACCCACCGTGCCGCCCTACTTAATTTGAATGCTTAAAAAAAAAAATCATCAAGCATATAAATTGAGGCTTCAAAATCTTGAAAACAGAAGCAGTTCTTCTAGCTCTCAGGTACTGTGGGCGTGTCCACCGAGTGCCCCGCAAATCCCTGAATTCACTTTAAAGAGTCTTTAAAATAGAGTCAATTACTTTTATTTGCACAAAACTCACCATCCCAATCGCAGACATGTAATTCTGCTAAAGAGCAGACATTGCTTGTATTGTCGTCATTCAATATTCTTAGCATGAATGAGTCAGAAATATTCTGAAATTCAACTGCGTTCTTTTCCAGTGTTGTCATTTTCAAGGCAGGCGATCTAGTGGATGTACTGCAGATGTACTGTCGGTTTTGCTGTCTTTCGATTCAGTTGCAGCGTAAAATCCTCGTAACCGTGTGCTGACCTTTGGCTGGTACACGAGTCTCAAGCACGTTGTATACGTTGTGCCTTTTTTTATGTTGAAAATTGCACTACTTTAATTTAAATCAGTTCTACCGGCATTATTTATTCGGAATAAATATTTCTGCATCAGCTTCGGTTTGGACATTGATCCTTGTGTGTCTCTGTGTTTACGTATTTTCTTCGGCTAAACTACCAATATTAAAATAAAGAGGGTGACTCTGTCTCTCCCTCAGGTTATCGCTCGGCTGTCTACACTGCAGCCTCCTTTCGGACTCAAACCCCAACCACCACTTTGACAAGGAGACACATGAGACCCCCACCACCCCACCCCACTCCCGCTTCCCGACCATTAACCTTCCCACCACCTCCTCCTCCTCCTCCTCCTCCGTCCAAAAAGCATACCTACAAGGCTGTGACCACTGCACGTTATCCCGAGCATCCAAGGAGGTGGACAACCCCGCGGCCATCATATTGGAGCCCGAAGCCCACATTTTATAAGCCTCAGAGACCCGTGATAAATACCACTCCAACGAAAACACAGGAGGAGAAGCTCGGGTTAGGAGACAAGACGGACAATACAGAGGGGGATGAAGGTAACCAGGTGAATAAGAGGCCCAGAGAAGGTGGCAGAGGTTACAGTTACAAAAGAGTAAGAGGAGGTGGAAGGATGCGCGTTGGCTCCGTTCGTCTGGTAAGTACGGATGGTCTATCGGACCGAGGTCGAGTTGAGATCTTTATCCGTGGAGAGTGGGGGACGGTGTGCGACGACCTTTTCACCACCAAGGCAGGGACAGTCGTGTGTCGACAGCTCGGCTTCAGGACGGCACTCGCGATTTTGAAGAGGGCCGTTCTGGGCCAGGCGGATCGCAGCGTCAGGATCTACTTGGATGACGTGGAGTGTGAGGGTGACGAGAGGTCGCTGCTTGAGTGCAAGCGATCCAGAGTTGGGAAGCACAACTGTTCGCACGCAGAGGATGTGGGGGTGATCTGTGGTTAGCCTGAATGCGGAGACCGGTGACGGGAGAATAGCACTGTAGATATACTGGACTACAGCAGTTCCAAACTGCTTTGAAGCTGTCAGATGAATATTACATTTGTTCTTACAAGCAATCCACATTCTTGAAAGAGTCTTTTGAAGTAGTTGCATACTTTACACCCCGTGTTGAAAACTGGCGGCACGCAGAGGATGTGGGGGTGATCTGTGGTTAGCCTGAATGCGGAGACCGGTGACGGGAGAATAGCACTGTAGATATACTGGACTACAGCAGTTCCAAACTGCTTTGAAGCTGTCAGATGAATATTACATTTGTTCTTACAAGCAATCCACATTCTTGAAAGAGTCTTTTGAAGTAGTTGCATACTTTACACCCCGTGTTGAAAACTGGCGGGCCAGGCATGTGCCTGGGCCATCAGTGGGGACTGAGTCGACTGAATCCACCTCTGAATACCACCACTATCAGATCACAAGTAGAGAAACCGTCCATCCATTTCCTAGTCCGCTTCTCCTCACGAGGGTCGCGGGGCGTGCTGGAGCTTATCCCTGCTGTCTTCGGGCAGTAGGCGGGGGACACCCTGAACTGGTTGGCAGC